CTCATCTCACCCTACCGAAATACTCATCCAATCCTACCGAAGTACTCATCCAAGCCTACTTAATTATTCAACTCAGCCTACTGAAATACTCATCCAAGCCTACTGAATTACCCAACACACCCTATTGAAATACTCATCCAAATCCACCGAATTACTCAACTCAGCATACCAAAATACTCATCCAAACCTACTGAATTACTCAACTCAACCTATTGAAATACTCATCCAAGCCTACTGAATTACTCAATGCACCCTACTGAAATACTCATCCAATACTACTGAAATACTCATCCAAGCATACTGATTTACTCAACTCAGCCTATTGAAATACTCATTCAAGCCTACTGAAATACTCATCCAATCCTACCGAAAAACTCATCCAAGCCTACTTAATTACTCATCTCACCTTACCAAAATACTCATACAAGCCTACCGAATTATTAAACTCAGCACATCAAAATACTTATCCAAGTCTACTTAATTATTCAACTCAGCTTACCAAAATACTCATCCAAGCCTACTGAATTACCCAACACACCCTATTGAAATACTCATCTAAATCCACCGAATTACTCAACTCAGCATACCAAAATACTCATCCAAACCTACTGAATTACTCAACTCAACCTACTGAAATACTCATCCAAGCCTACTTAATTATTCAACTCAGCCTACTGAAATACTCATCCAAGCCTACTGAATTACCCAACACACCCTATTGAAATACTCATCCAAATCCACCGAATTACTCAACTCAGCATACCAAAATACTCATCCAAACCTACTGAATTACTCAACTCAACCTACTGAAATACTCATCCAAGCCTACTGAATTACTCAATGCACCCTACTGAAATACTCATCCAATCCTACTGAAATACTCATCCAAGCATACTGATTTACTCAACTCAGCCTACTGAAATACTCATTCAAGCCTACTGAAATACTCATCCAATCCTACCGAAATACTCATCCAAGCCTACTTAATTACTCATCTCACCTTACCAAAATACTCATACAAGCCTACCGAATTATTAAACTCAGCACATCAAAATACTTATCCAAGTCTACTTAATTACTCAACTCACCCTACTGAATTAATCAACTCACCCTACTGAAATACTCATCCAAGCCTATCAAATTACTCAACTCAGCCTACTGAAATACTCATCCAAGCCTACTGAATTACTCAACTCACCCTACTGAATTAATCAACTCACCCTACTGAAATACTCATCCAATCCTACCGAAATACTCATCCAAGCATACCGATTTCCCAATTCAGCCCACCGAAATAATCATCCAAGCCTATCAAATTACTCAACTCAGCCTACTGAAATACTCATTCAAGCCTACCGAAATACTCATCCAATCCTACCGAAATACTCATCCAAGCCTACTGAATTACTCAACTCAGACTACCGAATTACTTAACTCAGCATACCAAAATACTCATCCAAGCCTACTGAATTACTCAACTCAACCTACTGAAATACTCATCCAAGCCTACTGAATTACTCAACTCAGCCTACTGAAAAGCATATCCATGCCTACTGAATTACTCAACTCAGCCTACCGAAATACTAATCCAAGCCTACTGAATTACTCAACTTAGCATACCAAAATACTCATCCAAGACTACCAAATTATTAAACTTAGTATACCAAAATACTCATCCAAGCCTACCAAATTATTTAACTCAGCCTATTGAAATAATCATCCAAGCCTACAGAATTACTCTACTCACTCTACCAAAATACTAATTCAAGCCTACTGAAATACTCATCCAAGTCTACTGAATTACTCATCTCACCTTACCAAAATACTCACCCAAGCCTATCGAATTACTCAACTCAGCATACTAAAATACTCATCCAAGCCTACTGAATTATTAAACTCAGCACATCAAAATACTCATCCAAGTCTACTGAATTACTCATCTCACCCTACCGAAATACTCATCCAATCCTACCGAAGTACTCATCCAAGCCTACTTAATTATTCAACTCAGCCTACTGAAATACTCATCCAAGCCTACTGAATTACCCAACACACCCTATTGAAATACTCATCCAAATCCACCGAATTACTCAACTCAGCATACCAAAATACTCATCCAAACCTACTGAATTACTCAACTCAACCTACTGAAATACTCATCCAAGCCTACTGAATTACTCAATGCACCCTACTGAAATACTCATCCAATCCTACTGAAATACTCATCCAAGCATACTGATTTACTCAACTCAGCCTATTGAAATACTCATTCAAGCCTACTGAAATACTCATCCAATCCTATCGAAATACTCATCCAAGCCTACTTAATTACTCATCTCACCTTACCAAAATACTCATACAAGCCTACCGAATTATTAAACTCAGCACATCAAAATACTTATCCAAGTCTACTTAATTATTCAACTCAGCTTACCAAAATACTCATCCAAGCCTACTGAATTACCCAACACACCCTATTGAAATACTCATCTAAATCCACCGAATTACTCAACTCAGCATACCAAAATACTCATCCAAACCTACTGAATTACTCAACTCAACCTACTGAAATACTCATCCAAGCCTACTTAATTATTCAACTCAGCCTACTGAAATACTCATCCAAGCCTACTGAATTACCCAACACACCCTATTGAAATACTCATCCAAATCCACCGAATTACTCAACTCAGCATACCAAAATACTCATCCAAACCTACTGAATTATTCAACTCAACCTACTGAAATACTCATCCAAGCCTACTGAATTACTCAATGCACCCTACTGAAATACTCATCCAATCCTACTGAAATACTCATCCAAGCATACTGATTTACTCAACTCAGCCTACTGAAATACTCATTCAAGCCTACTGAAATACTCATCCAATCCTACCGAAATACTCATCCAAGCCTACTTAATTACTCATCTCACCTTACCAAAATACTCATACAAGCCTACCGAATTATTAAACTCAGCACATCAAAATACTTATCCAAGTCTACTTAATTATTCAACTCAGCTTACCAAAATACTCATCCAAGCCTACTGAATTACCCAACACACCCTATTGAAATACTCATCCAAATCTACCGAATTACTCAACTCAGCATACCAAAATACTCATCCAAACCTACTGAATTACTTAACTCAATCTACTGAAATACTCATCCAAGCCTACTGAATTACTCAACTAACCCTACCGAAATACTCATCCAATCCTACCGAAATACTCATGAAAGCATACTGATTTACTTAACTCAGCCCACCAAAATACTCATCCAAGCCTATCAAATTACTCAACTCAGCCTACTGAAATACTCATTCAAGCCTACCGAAGTACTCATCCAATCCTACCAAAATACTCATCCAAGCCTACTGAATTACTCAACTCAGACTACCAAATTACTTAACTCAGCATACCAAAATACTCATCCATGTATACTGAATTACTCAACTCACCCTATTGAATTACTCAACTCACCCTACTGAAATACTCATCCAATCTTACCAAAATACTCATCCAAGCATACCGATTTACTCAATTCAGCCCACCGAAATAATCATCCAAGCCTATCAAATTACTCAACTCAGCCTACTGAAATACTCATTCAAGCCTACCGAAATACTCATCCAATCCTACCGAAATACTCATCCAAGCCTACTGAATTACTCAACTCAGACTACCGAATTACTTAACTCAGCATACCAAAATACTCATCCAAGCCTACTGAGTTACTCAACTCAACCTACTGAAATACTCATCCAAGCCTACTGAATTACTCAACTCACCCTACCAAAATAATCATCCAATTCTACCGAAATACTCATCCAAGCTTACTGAATTACACAACTCAGCCTACTGAAAAACATATCCATGCCTACTGAATTACTCAACTCACCCTATTGAAATACTAATCCAAGCCTACTGAATAACTCAACTCAGCCTACCGAATTACTTAACTCAGCACACCAAAATACTCATCCAAGCCTACTGAATTACTCAACTCAACCTACTGAAATCCTCATCCAAGCCTACTGAATTACTCAACTCACCCTACTAAAATACTCATCCAATCATACCAAAATACTCATCCAAGCATACCGATTTACTCAACTCAGCCCACCGAAATACTCATCCAAGCCTACCAAACTACTCAACTCAGCCTACTGAAATACTCATCCATTCCTACCGAAATACTCATCCAAGCCTACTGAATTACTCAACTCAGACTACCAAATTGCTTAACTCAGCATACCAAAATACTCATCCAAGCTTGCCGAATTACACAACTCAGCCTACTGAAAAACCTATCCATGCCTTCTGAATTACTCTGCTCACACTATTGAAATACTCATCTAAATCTACCGAATTACTAGACTCAGCATATCAAAATTCTCATCCAAACCTACGGAATTATTCAACTTAGCCTACCGAAATACTCATCCAAGCCTACTGAATTACTCAACTCAGCCTACCGAATTACTCAACTCAGCATTCCAAAATACTCATCTAAGCCTACTGAATCACTCAACTCAGCCTACTAAAATACTCATCCAAGCCTACTGAATTACTCAACTCAGCCTAATAAAATACTCATCCAATCCTACTAAAATACTCATCCAAGCCTACCGACTTATTCAACTCAACCTACCAAAATACTTATCCAAGCCTACTGAAATAATCATCCAAGCATACCAAATTATTCAACTCAGCCTACCCATATACTCACCCAAGCCTACCAAATTTGGTAACCTGCTCTAGGCTACCAAATGACTAATCTTATCTTAGTAAATTAGCCACCCGAGCCTAAAAATGACTAATTAGAGCATGAAAAAGAATAACTCACAAGTGCCTACCTAGTTACTTATTTTAGTTGTTATCCTGACACAACTAAAGTAAACATCTCGCAATGTGCCACTTTGTGTCTTGTTTGTATATTACAGCATCTCTTACTTTCTATTTGATTTTAACTGCCAGAATCAACTCTCTATCCCTATGGAGCATCAGTGGGGGATAAAGAGACCCCAAAAGAAGATGACGGTGCCAGCCCTGATATCCAATGCTCAGTTCCATTTACATTTTTTGGAAGGACTCACAAATATCTCTACGTAGGTGTATCTCCCTACAGAAGGTTCAGTTGAAGACAATCAGGTTTAATATGTTTTACTTGTATGATACATGGAGATATTAAAAGGCAGGCAATGCCTGATATAAAATAAAGCTTGATTTACACTGTTGGCATCCCTGCAGATGATCTGACTGCAGACATGGAAAGTTTGCTTTATGTGCAATCTCAGTATCAGCAGTCAGAGAAATTTGAGGATAAATTTGACAAGGGAAGAGGCTAAATATCCATAAGGGAATATAATTATAAAATTGGGTGATGCACTGATCCCCTCTACTGCAGAAAAAAGAAATTCAGAGAAATAACCATTATGGTTAGAAATAATAAATCCAATAAAGTTCTGCTTGTGTTTTTAGGTTAACAATAATGGAGTGGTTTCTTTTGGAGTTCCAGTTTCCACGTACACGCCAAATGCCTTCCCATTAGCTGATGGCAGCCCTTTTGTCGCCCCTTATTGGGGAGATGTCGACAATGAAAAATCTGGAACGGTCTATTACCGGGAGACCACTGGTTCAGCTTTATTGCAGAGGATAAATGAAGAGATGGCCAAATATTTTCCAAATCTTCATTATAAGGCGACTTGGGCATTTGTTGCTACTTGGGATGACGTCCCTTACTACCAATCTCTGTCCAAAAAGGTGTGCTGTTTATTAAATGAAGGCAATACTTAATTTTACTGTAATTCGATCCCCTATTGTTGCTTAGTGTGTTTATTGATTCTCTAGCAATTCACCCATCACTATCTACAAACTCTCTACCCATTGTCCAATCACTGTCTACAGACTCTCTACCCATCGTCCAATCACTGTCTACAAACTCTCTACCCATTGTCCAATCACTATCTACAGACTCTCTACCCATCGTCCAATCACTGTCTACAGACTCTCTACACATTGTCCAATCACTGTCTATCTCTACTCATTATCCAATCACTGTCTACAAACTCTCTACCCATTATCCAATCACTGTCTACAAACTCTCTACCCATCGTCCAATCACTGTCTACAAACTCTCTACCCATTGTCCAATCACTGTCTACGGACTCTCTACCCATCATCCAATCACTGTCTACAGACTCTTTACCCATTGTCCAATCACTGTCTACAGACTATCTACCCATTGTCCAATCACTGTCTACAGACTCTCTACCCATCATCCAATCACTGTCTACAAACTCTCTACCCATTGTCCAATCACTGTCTACAGACGCTTTACCCATCGTCCAATCACTGTCTACAGACTCTTTACCGATTGTCAAATCACTGTCTACAGACTCTCTACCCATCGTCCAATCACTGTCTACAGACTCTGTACCCATCATCCAATCACTGTCTACAGACTCTCTACCCATCATCCAATCACTGTCTACAGACTCTCTACCCATCATCCAATCACTGCCTACAGACTCTCTACCTATCATCCAATCACTGCCTACAGATTCTCTACCCATCATCCAATCACTGCCTACAGACTTTCTACCCATCGTCCAATCACTGTCTACAGACTCTTTACCCATCGTCCAATCACTGTCTACAGACACTCTACCCATCGTCCAATCACTGTCTATCTCTACTCATTATCCAATCACTGCTTACTTCTTGTCCAATCATTGTATACATACTCTCTACCTATTATTAAATCACTGTCTAGTCACTCTCCTTCTAAGCAATCACTGTCTACAGACTTTCTACCCATTGTCCAAAAGTCACTCTTTTCCTACTATCCAATCAGTGTCTATAAACTCTCTATCCATTGTCCAATCACTGTCTACAGACTCTCTACCCATTCACTAATCACTTTCTACAGACTCTCTAACCATTTTCCAATCACTGTCTACAAACTCTATACCTATTTTCCAATCACTCTCTGTAGCGGACTATGGGTAATCCTACTGGTTACCTCCGCTAATTCTTTCCTTCAGCCACTCTGGCTCCATTAAAGCATACACACATCCATTCCCCCCATGGTTCTGGGAGTTTTTTTGGCCACACACGGCTTTTATGCACAAACCTCTACATGGTGTCTCCCATACAATAATACAGGGCTTTCCCTCCCAGGATCCTCTACAGAAAAATATACAATATTCTAAAAAAAAATTAAAATCCATTTTAATAACTTTGGAACCCCATGAAAGTTATATCACCGAATAGCTTAGGTCTGAGCACACACTTTGCCAAAATATCACTCAGATTCCCCCAATGGTTTCTTTCCCTTAGAGCTACTACATGAGCGCAGTGGGTGGGAAGGCAAAAAAAAAAGAACAAGTGCCGACACATGAGAGCCCTCTCCCACTGTGTCTCTCATCTGGGGAGGTGTCACGGCAAGGGTACACAATTCATTGTTGCACTAAAGAATATAGCCATTTAATGTAATTTGTGTAGTGTATATATGAACTGGCAGCTTGGTAGAGGTGGTATTGTCAATTTCAAAAGGGGTTATTTGATTGTATGGGAGGTCAGAGTCTACAACCTAAATTCCTCTTTGAAGCTGGGACTCCAACAGAGCTACTCTGTAAAGTGTGAGAAGTCACACATAAGTGACCTGGAAGTCTGGTTTCAGTATGAACTAACTCTCTCATTTGCCATATGTCTTGATTCCCTCTTAGATAAGGAGTCCTTTGATATAAATGGTCATTAGCTTTCAAGACCAAGCCTTGTGTTCCAATATCATATCCAAAATAGACATTAATACCTACCCACAGACCACACTGTCTACAGACACTTTACTCATTGTTCAATCATTGTGTAGAGACTCTCTACCCATTGTCCAATCACTATCTACAGACTCTCCTCCCATTGTCCAATCACTGTCTACAGACTCTCTACCCATCGTCCAATCACTGTCTACAGACTCTCCATCCATTGCCCAATCACTGTCTACAGACTCTTTACCCATTGTCCAATCACTGTCTACAGACTCTCTCCACATTATCCAATCACTGCCTACAGACACTCTACTCATTGTCCAATCATTGTGTACAGACTCTCTACCCATTATCCAATATCTCTCTAGTCACTCTCTTACTACTAAACCAGTCAGTATCTGGTGTGACCACCATTTGCCTCACGCAGTGCAAAACATCTCCTTCACATAGAGTTGATCAGGTTGTTGATTGTGGCCTGTGGAATGTTGGTCCACTCCTCTTCAATGGCTGTGCAAAGTTGCTGGATATTGGCAGGATCTGGAACATGCTATCATATACGCCGATCCAGAGCATCCCAAACGTGCTCAATGGGTGACATGTCCGGTGAGTATGCTGGCTATGCAAAAACTGGAATGTTTTCAGCTTCCAGGAATTATGTACAGATCATTGTAACATGGAGCGGTGCATTATCATGCTGCAACATGCCTCTCTGTTCCTGGGAGATAATTAGCTTACCTGTATTAATGCAATTATCTCCCAGACACAGATATCTTTGCATTGTTTGGAGACCCCCTGCTGAGGTTGTGTATATAAGCAGGCAACTTCTCCCTAATAATAAAGCAGTTCCTTTTCCCCCTTCACTCAGTCTGGGCTAGTGTTTGGGTGGATCAATATTATTCTGCAGGAGAGCTTAATCACGTGAAGCTGTACCCAGGACCCTGTTCCAGGGTGGGAAGCGATGGAGAAACTCCAGACAATCTGCAGCAGCAAGGGTCTGAAGCCCTCCTGTGCACCGGAGGAGAGCTAGGAAGCAAGCTTGATGAAGGTACCCAGTCGGGGTGCCAGGCAATCCGTCACAAAACTCTCTAACCATTGTCTAATCACTATCTACAGACTTTCTACCCATTCACTAATCACTTTTTACAGACTCTCTATCCATTGTCCAATCACTGTTTACAGACACTTTACCAATTGTCCAATCACTGTCTACAAACTCTTTGCCCGGTATCCAATCACTGTCTACAGACTATTTATTCATCGTCCAATCATTGTCTATAGACTCTCTACCTATTATCCAATAACTATTGACTCTGTACTCATTGTTTATTCTCTACTTTCTCTCTTCAGAATGCTGTTTAATTATGGGCCAAAATGTGACTGAAAGTCTAAATCATCCATCATGCACAGCTGATATGAAATTTACTATATTAGATTTAATATTATAAAAGCTGTTCTGTTTTCCAGACAAACACATTTCAGGCAGTTCTTCACACGGATGGTAAGAGATCGTTTATTATGCTGAATTACGGCAAAATTACTTGGACAACTGGTGGTGCCAGCGGTGGCAATCTGCTGACAGGGTTAGGAGGTGTTCCAGCCCAGGTATATCTAAAATCTTGTGTCAGATAAAATATTTGTATATTTACTTGACATTATGTATTAACCCTTTGTGACCCTTTTTAATATTTTATGTTTTATGATTTGTGACTCCAGTGCCTGAGAGATAATTAATTTAAGCAAAGTACACTAAATTATCTCCAAGACACAGAGACTCTGGGGCATGTTGCCTGTTGTGGAAGTGTTATGCTATGTCTTACTTACTTACCTTACGTCCCCTCCTGCTGGGGGTGTGTGTATAAAAGTGGGCCATCTGGCCATACTAAAACATTCCTATTGTACCCTTCATCAAGTCTAGACTGATGTTTGGGTATGTGACCAATGAACCATTGGATTTGTTCTCACGAACCGCTTGGATTTCAGGAACATACGAATCAACGTACTATGTGAATGGGCTATAAGCACTAAGTTCTCAGCATTTCGGGAGTATATGAACAAATTAATTATACAAAAGACAAGGCGTTCTTTACAATTGGTGGAAAGAGACAGGATTTGAATGGACCTTCCGAACACAGGAAAGCAGTGAATGGCCCAACAGTATGAAAGCCTCAAGTGAAGTATGCTGAAAGACCTGCTGGAAGCTCGAGTATTCTGTAACAAGACACAGCATCGCTACCAGAATCTAGCAATGGAGAATCGGCCAGACCATAGAAGTGAGCCATCCACTGACTACCAACAGCCCGAGTTCATTTTAACTAGGTGTGGCGAAAGTGACCTCACCACTGGCTTTTGGAGGTTTGCCAACCTCCTACCTTGTGACTATGGCCCCTGCAATAGACCTGGCTAAAATACTTTAAACAGTCTCTGAGACCACCCTGGAGCTTGTTAACACCAATTAACAACTTGGAACATTTCTAATTGTTCACATAATTCTACAATTGTTCAGTGTTCTAATTGTTCGTCTGGGTGGCCACAGTTCCTATGAACAACCACGAGATGGCAGCCATCTTGTTCGCATGAATGCAGGCAGTGGGCATGAGGATGGGTTGGCGACCCATCCTACCCAGCCTTATGTCAGTTTTGTTCCTGTCCAAGATGGCGCCGGTGTCGTCCTTCGATCTAGTCTTTGAGTGCAACTATGGCGACGACTTCCTGAGTAACCTCCATGTCAATATTTCTGGATGATCATTTTCGTGCACATGGCAAAACGCGTCATCACACTCAACCCTGTACAGACGCACATTGGGAAGCTTGCAGACTGAAGTCTCTGATTGCGGTGTTTTGGCTTCTCGTGGTGGAAAATGCTGTCCCTTTAAACTGTGAGAAGTCTGAACTTACACATTGCATATACGGGGGGGTTGTTTGGAGAAAGCTGCTATTTAAATCTGTGCAATAAATTTGAAAGTTGATCGTTTTGCCTCTGCCGTTTTTATCCCAGGAGGGATTGAAATTAGGAGCTGTCATAGTTAGAGCAGACTTCTCTGCTATACTTTGCTTTCTGTGTAATAGAATTACACTATTATTGTTTTTTACCTCCTTTTATGTTACATGGAGAGGATCTACATATGAATTTATAAGTGAGTGTTTTGTGTATTTTACCACGATTGCACATAAGAGTACACAATATAAGTGTTAAGGAAATGTATGCACTTTATATAAATCACATTTTGCACAATACAGCACCAATAAGGCACAGCGCACCTATGTTTTGATTTTTGTATTATATGTGTGTTTTTATGAGCTATAACACTGTTTATGGTGCTGCTTCTTTTAAAAGATTTGTTTGCACTTTAATTTAAAAAACAAATAGCATTATATTTATATATTCACTTGTCACTTTTTTATTCTCTTATAAGAGCTTCATAGCTATACTCTCTTGGTGTAGAGGCCTTCCCACTGAGTCCCTGGAACCAGGGTGGGAAAGGACAGCGAGACCCCAACCAAGCTGCGGCGGTTCGTGGGGTCTACGGTGCTTATGGTGCGGTGCAGTGCTTATGGTTCTCAGCGTCAGCTAGGAAGCATCGATTGGCTGAGGTACCCAGTCGGGGTACCAGGTGGTCCGTCACACATCGCAGTTCAACACTCCCCGCCCAGAGGAGATATTACCAGTGACCACATGACTACAAGCCTGCAGGGGAGAGCCCATGCACTCCGAGGACCCTCAGGCAGGACCCTATGTCCCGTCTGTGGTGGAACTGCTGCCTGTTCCTGAATTTCCCTTTTTATATTATGTGTGTTTCCCTATCCTTTTGTGTATTGTGCCCGCTCCCGGTTCGGGAGTGCTTCCACAAAGGGAATTAATTCACCTCCTGAACAGGGACCACCCCAATACCTCATTTAGAATGCTAGGTTAGAACGTTCTCACCTTGTAACATAAGTGTCAAACTGAAAACCGCAAACCGCAAACTGCAAGGGAAACAATTAATGAGCGCTCCCCTGGGTGGCCGCCATTTCGCTAGATGAACACCAACCAGGGAGAGAGCGTTTGTGGGTTGTTTCCTGACTCGTTTGTTCCCCAAATGAGGACCTCCCCAGTGCTCCATTAGAACGTTTACACCAATTAATCAACATTTTTGCACTTGCAACATAGGTGTGAAACCACAAGGGAAGTAATTAATGAGTGCTCCTCTGGGTGGCCGCCATTCATGCCGACAGGCAGTGGCCAGGGAGAGCATTTGTACCCCAAAAGTACCTCTTTCCTTGTCTGGGATTCACACCGGGATCTCACGAATAGAGGCTGGTGCTGGCAGGTGTGGCAGGCTTTCCTGTGCCTAAGGAACAAAGAGACTAGCTCTTTTCCCACGGGTGGGCTTTTCTGTGCCTGGGAGACAAGGGGACGGTCCCTTTTTCCCGCGCCTGGACTCCCAGGCACAGAGGCTCCTTAGAGTAGGTTTCCATCGGGAGATTTTGTCTGACCAGGGGGCTCAATTTGCGTCAACTGTGACCAAGCAATTGTGGTAGAGTTGCGGAGTAAAGCCCCTGTTTAGCTCTCCATACCATCCCCAGACGAATAGACTCTGTGAATGTTTTGCACGTTCAACAGCCTAGGGGAAAAACTGAACCCCTTAGAAATTCGAGGCCACCCAGATTCTCCAGGGATACCGAGAAATGTTCTCCTCTTTCCCCATGTCCACCGAGTTGAGACCCAGGAAAAACTTCAGTAACAACCTTACCATATCACTGAAGCAGTTAGAGAGAGCATGCTGAAAGAGATTCAGGACATGTTAAAGATAGGGGTCATAGAGCCATCCCGGAGCCCCAGGGCTTCTCTGGTAGTGTTGGTATCTAAGCGAGACAGTACGACTCGCTTCTGTATTGACTACAGGAAACTTAATTACCGGACAGTAACTGATGCCTACCCCATGCCCCGGATAAATGAGCTGCTAGATCGTATGGCTGGGGGTAATTACTTAACTACCACAGATCTGTATAAGGATTATTGGCAAATTCCCCTGGAGCCGGCGGCAATCACTAAGTTGGCATTTGTCACCCCGTTTGAGCTATACTAGTTCAAGGTTATGCCCTTCAGGATGAAGAATGCCCCTGCTATCTTTCAACAGATGGTTGACCGGCTCTTGGAGGGATTTCAGGACTTTGAATGTGAGTATTTAGATGACATAGCCATCTACAGCCGCACATGAGAAGATCCCCTTTGAAACTTATCTATGGTACTTGAGAGAATTCAGGCAGCAGGGCTATCTGTGAATCCAGACAAGTGCCATGTCGGTATGGCCGAGGCACAGTTGGGTAGGTTTTGGCAAACAGCGGCCCGAACCCGCCTAAGTGTAGGCTTTTGCCAACTGGCCACAACCCCGTACTAAAACGCAAGAGTTACTTTTTCTAGGGACCTGCGGGCTATTACTGCAAGTTTGCCTTTGAATATAATGCCCTTGCCAAGCCCCTCACTGACCTGACCAAAAGGTCCCTTCCCAGACAGGTAGTGTGGTCTCCGGAGAGTGTGGTAGCCTTGCAGAGTCTAAAGACAGCGTGGAGTGCCTGAGAGATAATACACTTGTTACTTGTGTGTATACAATTGTTACTTGTTGTGTTACACTTTTACTTTGCAATGTCCTGTGTTACATTGTGTACACAGAGCCTCTCATTCCAGATTTGCTTGGAATAGGCTTTAAGTTAATATTAGAGTATTCACCATCCTGATTAGTCCATGAGTTCAGGGGGATTGGTGTGAGAGGTGCAGCTAATAGTCACTACATATCTATCTGTTCACATTGCAGCTCTGTGTTACAAAGCCTTACTGTAGCTTAAAGGACCACTCTAGGCACCCAGACCACTTCAGCTTAATGAAGTGGTCTGGGTGCCAGGTCCTTCTAGGGTTAACCCATTTTTTCATAATTATAGCAGTTTCAGAGAAACTGCTATAATTATGAATGGGTTAAGCCTTCCCCCTAATCCTCTAGTGGCTGTCTCATTGACAGCCACTAGAGGCGCTTGCGTGCTTCTCACTGTGATTTTCACAGTGAGAGCACGCTAGCGTCCATAGGAAAGCATTATGAATGCTTTCCTATGTGACCGGCTGAATGCGCGCGCAGCTCTTGCCGCGCGTGCGCATTCAGCCGACGGGGAGGAGAGAAGGAGGATCGGAGGAGGAGAGCTCCCCGCCCAGCGCTGGAAAAAGGTAAGTTTTTACCCCTTTCCCCCTTCCAGAGCCAGGCGGGAGGGGGTCCCTGAGGGTGGGGGCACCCTCAGGGCACTATAGTGCCAGGAAAACGAGTATGTTTTCCTGGCACTATAGTGGTCCTTTAATCAGTCTACAAGATATTGCTCTCTCCTAGTGCTCCTACCTCTCCCAGAGCTCTTTCAGTGTTTCTTTCTCCAGCTCTGCTTCTTCTCCCCAACTCCTCTCTGTTGGTGTCCCCCAAAGTTCAGTCCTTGGTCCCCTACTGTTCTCCATCTATACTGCCTCCCTTGGTAAACTCATTAGCTCCTTTGGCTTCCAATATCATTTCTATGCAGATGACACGTCCTCTACCTGTCCTCTCCTGATCTCTCTCTGTCCCTCTTGAATAGTGTCTCTGACTGCCTCTCTGCTGTTTCTAACCGGATGGCTGCCCACTTCCTTAAACTAAACTTGACCAAAACTGAAATTCTGTTCTTTCCTCCCTCAAGTGTTGTTACTCCTGTGTCTGTCTCCCACCAAGTCGACGGTGCTACCATCAGCTCCATCATGCAGGCTCGCTGCCTAGGTGTTCTCTTTGACTCTGACTGCTCCTTCAAGCCTCATGTTCAATCTATCGCCAAATCCTGTCATTTCCATCTCAAAAACATTGCGCGCATCCGCACCCAATTTAACGCCAGATGCGACTAAGGTGTTGGTCCATTCCACTGTCCTTTCTCGCCTTGACTACTGTAATCCGCTTCTCAGTGGTCTTACGTGCTCCCAACTTGCGCCGTTACAGTCCATAATGAATGCGGCCGCGAGGCTCATCTTCCTGTCCGCCCGCACCTCCCATGCCTCACCCTTCTGTCAGTCCCTACATTGGCTTCAAATCTCTACATAATGCTGCTCCCACCTATCTATCCTCCCTTATACACAAGTATGTCCCGTCTAGGCCCTTACGATCTGCTGAAGACTTACGTCTATCTTCTGTCCGTACTGCCATCTCTGATGCTCGCCTTCAAGATTTCTCGAGGGATGCACCGTTCCTGTGGAACTTGATTCCCTCCTCCGTTAGATGCTCACCCAGTCTCCACTCCTTCAAAAAATTGTTAAAAACCCACTTCTTCATAAAAGCGCATCAATTAAACTGTTAATAGCTCCTGACTGATTCCTCTTCTGCAACTGTCACTAGTCTAATACTATACTTACCTTTTTGTGTCATTTTACCCCACTCCCTCTAGCATGTAAGCTCATTGAGCAGGGCCCTCAACCCCTCTGTTCCTGTGTTTCCAACTTGTCTGGTTACAACTACATGTCTGTTCGTCCACCCATTGTAAAGCGCTGCGGAATTTGACGGCGCTCTATAAATATCATAATAATAATAATAATAATAATAATAATCCAACCGAGGTTGTGTTCTTGGAGCGCCATCAAGTTGACATATTTATTATTGGCCTGATATCTTATTAATCAAATGTTATAGCTTTGTCTCTAGTTCAGGTTGTCCTAATCAGCACTTTAAAAAAAAAAAAAAGATTTTAAATTATTTTTTCAATATATTAAAATATCAAAAAATATATCAAATATAAAAAGCATAACAATATATAAAAAAATTGGAAATAAATTAAAATATTCTTCAAAATATGAAATCATTAGAATAGTTTATCCAAAAATATTAAATAATTTTAAAAGCCTATTCAACAATATTTTATGGAGGCCAAGATATGCGTGCCTAAATTTTGCGATTCATTTTCAATTAAAAAATTTAATGTGTAGAAGAAGAAAAAAAACGTCTTGTCTTTCATATACTCCGTTTGTTCGTATACTTCCAAATGTTAGGAACTTAGTGCTTACAGCCCTTTTGCATAGTACATTGATTCGTACGTACCCGAAATCCAAGTGGTTCATGAGAAAAAATCAAGCAGTTCGTTGGTCACATAGCCAAACTTCAGTGAGTAAAATAGTGTAACAGTGAGTAACATAGAGTAATAGTGAATAACATTGAGTAATAGTGTGTAACATAGTGTAACAGTGAGTAACATAGAGTAATAGTGAGTAACATAGTGTACCAGTGAGTAAAATAGTGCTACAGTGAATAACATAGTGTTAAAGTGAGTAACATAGTGTAACAGTAAGTAACATAGAATAATAGCGAGTAACATAGTGTAACGGTGCAACAGTGAGTAATAATGTAACAGTGAGTAGCAGTGAGTAACACAGTGTAGCACAGCGTACCATAGTTAACAATGAGTAAAATAGTTAACAGTGAGAAATAGAGTAATAGTGAGTAACATAGTGTAAAAATGAGTAACAGTTTCAGAGTAACATAGTTTAACACAGCGTAATGTATTGTAACACAGTGTAACATTTTGTAACACAACATAATGTATTGTAACATAGTGTAATGTATTGTAACACAGTGTAACGTATTGTAACATAGTGAATGTATTGTATCACAGTGTAACGTATTGTAACACAGCATAATGTATTGTAACATAGTGTAACTTATTGTAGCACAGCCTGTATGTGACGCCACCTTACTATGTCCTGTATACAGGCTGGATTTAACAGTGGTGACAATACACATTATTTCAACATTCCTGACTCCAGGACAGACAATATCATTAACATAAATCGGACGTCCAACGTAGACACTCCTGGACGGTGGGTCTTCCAGGTGGACACCTTCAAGGCCCCCGGAGGGTGTATTTTTGAAGGTATGTTAAGGTTAATGATCTAATTTAGAACAGACCCTGAGATTAAATGTAAACCTACATTTAATTGTCTGATAATTTCTATTCTTCAGCTAATTTTGCTCGTTATAATGAAACCTTCTGGAAGGACGATAGCTGTGAAAATAAATGTGTATGTAACACGGATGGCGAGATTAAATGTACCGATGAGTCGTGTCCAGGGTTCATGGTTTGCCAGCCCTCGGCCTGGCACTTCACTTGTCAAATCAGTCTCGGAACCTGTTTCTGACGTTACCAAGGTATAGTTTCTTTACAAAGCTAGCAGTTCCCAATGGAGACATGTTTCAAACTCATTGTCAATATCTGGATAAAGGCTTTATAGGAATTGCCTGTAAACAGCAAACATCCAATAAATAATCATTTAGAGATTTCTTGGTTTTCGTAGTGAATTTTTGGAGTTGTGTATTTCGTGTGTTTTAGCACAATTGTAAGAAATGTATCTTGTTGTATCCTTTGCTTGTCAGGATCTGTGGTCGAACATGTGCTTAGTGCAGCCTAGCCCCAAAGCTGAATGTAGTGTGCCTGCTCTCCAGGGTAAAGAGATTAAACCATAGCATGAAGTGTTGACGCATATTGTTATATTTTATATTCTGTTTAGATTTGCCAGGAATGATAAACATGAATAAATATCTACATTTCACACTGTTGTTGTACACGGCCATTGACCCATTTTTAGCTCACTCTGCTTTTCGTTATTGGGGACTCTGTCACTCAGGTCTCTAAGCCCCCTTGTTTGGTGGTCTTCTAGTTAAATCCTAAATTTATGAACACAACATTTTACATCATTCGGTTTTAAATAGGGATATCAAACTTACTGCCTTCTTTGGGAAAAAAAGATTTCTACACTGCACTTTTATATATTTTTCTACCTACTATACCTTTTATAAAGTTATTTGTTTTAAGCTATTTTTAGATTTAAAGCTCGCTTTATACTATTCCTTCAACGTTGTTCTCAAATACTAAAATGAAAGCAGCGTTTATGACATGCATACTGCCTGCACTCTCTACCTTTATACTTTGTGCTTTAAAATCTATACAAATTATTAGGAGTTATGACACGAGATGGCTCTCTACATAAAATATGTGGAGGATGTTAAAAAATCTGGATGAAAACCTGCTTTGAATAATGAAAAGATTAATATGCTTCCTCGGGATGTGAGCACCCTTGATGGAATGCATGTGGATCCGAAACAGAAAGGTCAGATCCTGAAAGCTAGCCGGATAAGAGGCATGTGTGGGTGTGGTGAGTGTAGGTGCAAAATGGGGGAGTGGTAAAGGAAATGGATAAGGGGCTGGACTATATAAATAGGCAGTCATTTTGCCTCCTGAATTCAGCCATCTTAACCCCTTAAGGACTGGACTGTTTTTGCGATGTTGTACATTTGCGACCAGGCATATTTTTACACTTTTGTGGTGTTTGTGTTTGACTGTAATTTTCCGCTCTCTCATTTACTGTTCCCATACAAATTATATATTGTTTTTTTCAGGACAAAAGGGGATTTCTTTACATACCATTATTTATATAATCTCATGTATTTTATTTTAAAAAAAATAAAAAAATATGATGAAAAATTGAAAAAAATACATGTTTTTTGACTTTTACTTGAAAAATCTTTTACTCATCTACAAAAGCGAATGAAAAAAACTGCTAAATAGATTCAAAATTTTGCCCTGAGTTTAAAAATACCCAGTGTTTACGTGCTTTTTTGCTTTTTTTTGCAAGTTATAGGGCTATAGGTACAAGTAGGATATTGCGGTTTCAAAACAAACATTTTTAAAATGTATCAATAGTGACATTGTAACACTATTATCTGTCATAAATCTCTGAATAACACCCCACATGTATATATATTTTTTTAAAGTAGACAACCCAGGGTATTCATCTAAGGATATTTTGACACTTTCTATGCAGCCATTTTACCACAAGTCTTTGCCAAACTTTGCATAGGTAGTTGTTTTTTTTTTTTCACATACATTGCAATTCAGGTATAAACTTACAGATCCTGTTATGTCTTGCTGCCAAAAAACACACTAATATATGTTCAGCAATATCTCCCGAGTACAGTGATACCATCCATGCAAGGGCTTGTCAGATTGTTTGGGGGCTAAAAGGCCACATTTGGCAGGTGCGCATATCCATTTTTCAACTTGGAATTTTGACATGTAGTCAACCTGCACACATGTCCTATTTGGGACATTTGTAAGGCTGGCCAATGTATTTTACCCCCACCAAACCATATATTTTTGGAAAGTAGACACCCTAGGGTATTTCAAATGGTGTTTTTTTTAACACTTTCCATGCACTAATTCTACCACCAGACTTTGTCAAACATTTAGGTAGTCATTTTTGTGTGTTTTTTTTCACACACATTGTACTTTAGGCATGAATTAACAAATCGTGTTATGTGTCACTGCCAAACAACACGCCAATATGTGTTCAGCAACATCTCCTGAGTACAGTGATACCACCCATGCATAGGCTTGTCAGATTGTTTGGGGGCTAAAAGGCCACATTTGGCAGGTGCACATATCCATTTTTCAACTTGGAATTTTGACATGTAGTCAACCTGCGCACATGTCCTATTTGGGACATTTGTAAGGCCGGCCAATGTATTTTACCCCCACCAAACTTTTGGGTAGTAATTTTCTTCGTGTTTTTTTACACATACATTGTACTTTAGGCATGAATTAACAGATCCTGTTATGTATCACTGCCAAACAACACCCCAATATGTGTTCAGCAACATCTCCTGAGTACAGTGATATCACCCATGCATAGGTTTGCTGGGTTGTTTGGGGGCTAAAAGGCCACAATCGAGACTTGTACATATCAGTTTTTCAACTTGATATATAGGTATGCTTGGCCTATCTTCAGTTTGGCATATTTTTGCATCCCCCGTTAATGTTAACATGATAAAAGTTTATATTTTTATAAAGTAGACATTCCAGGGAATAGTATATGAGGCGTTTTCACAACCTTCCCCCAACCATTGTACTAAACAAATTTCAGAGAACGTGCATGGTGGTAATTTTTGAATTCTGCTTTTTATGCACACGTCATCTGGTTTTGGCCAGCCAGTTATATGTTACTACCATAAAACTTTTTTAACCAAATGTGCAGGTATCAAATGCACCTTTAGCAGCATTCTCTAAGCTAACTCCTGCAAAAAGAATCTAATTGGAGATTTGCTGCTTTCAAAAGAAAAAAAAACAGTGCAAATGGGTGTCTGTCCTTTTCCCTTTTTTATAACAGACCCAGCAACATTTCAGGGGATTTGTTTTTTTTTGCAGTTGGCGGTATCTTAAAAATAAAATGTCTGGACTCCTTTGGCACCGTTGTTGGAACCTGACCATCTCCATAAATTATTGTGGAAATCAGCTTGAACTGAAATTGGAGAAAGGTGGTTCTTTCTGGATTCATTTTTTTTAAAGAGTAAAAATGAATTATGTGTTGCTACTTGCATCAGGTAGATAGCCACCTTTTTATACCAGGCTTTTGTCTTTCTTAAGATAAGATATGGCTGCATCAGCTGATCAGCCAAATCAACACCCCCATGTGCATTTTATAAGCCCTGATCCAAACAGGTTTGGTCTGTACTCTGCCTCGGACAGTGACGTCTGACATGCTTTCGTCATGGATTGTGGTTAGTATATTAACATCCTTCCTGTCCTTAAATTTTATTGCAAGCACTTTAGCTTTGTGCAGACCTTTACATTCACTTTTTTTTTAATTTGGCCTCTATAAAAGGTCTGGGGAAATCCTTGGCATATCTTCTCACACTGCCACAGGCCAATATCTAGAAACCCTAAAGAGTTTGAAACAAACGGACAATGCTATAAAAATTGTCCACATAAAGGTGGTAACCCTTATTGAACAAGGGGATCAGTAAGTCAAAAACAAGTTTCCCGCTTGTCCCCAGAGAGTCAGTACAGCCAGGAGGGTCCAGTTGACCATCTTTCCCCTCATATATACGAAAGGCAAATGTATAGCCACTTTCGCTCTCGCACAGTTTGTAGAATTTTACGCCATACCTAAAGCGCTTTGAGAGGATGTATTTTTTGAATCCTAATCTCCCTTTATATTTCATTAACGATTCATCAATAGATACATTTTTTTGAGGAGTATAAACTTCAGTAAATTTGTGCTGAAGATGGTCTACCAGTGGGTGTATTTTATGAAGCCTATCATATTGGGTGTGATCTCTGGGGTGACAGAGGGTATTGTCATTGAAATGTAAGTATCTCAGCAGCAGCTCAAATCTTGTTCTAGACATGGTTTGAGAGTACACTGGACTAGAACAGATTGGGTTGGTGCTCCAGTAAGAGCAAATTGATGGCTTCTTTATAATCCCCATGAGAATTGTAAGAGCCCAGAATTTTTTAAGTTCAGCGACATCTGTGGGATGCCAAGCACACTCCTCCCTGACTGCATAGCTATCTGGATTGGTATCAATAAATTGGGTAGCATATAAATTAGTCTGGGGAGCAATCTCCTCCCAGATGGTATTCCCTAAAAATAACTCCATATATTGTATAGGGGAGAAGTCAACCACATTCACATTAATGCCTGCGTTGGCACTAAAAGGGGGGATGTTGGGCTCAGCTAACTGTGGAGGTACAGACAGTACAAATGCACTGTCTGTAACAGATCTGGCAGGGAAGGGGTTAAAATGGGATTTTTATTCACTGCAGATACTTTTTACAACTCTCTGGAACAGCTGCTGCAACAATACATCACGATCTCTGTCTCTCTCCTCTCACAAAACACTACAGAGGGGAGAGAGGCAGAGATCAGTGTCAAAGTGAGTGTTTGTAACACCCACTTTGACACCGGCCAATTGTGAGCGATCGCGGATCGCTCACATGCCGCAATTGGCTGTTACTATCTGCCTGGGATGCCGGGCAGATAGTAACAACGGGATTTCGGCGGAAGTGATCTCCGATCGCTCCCGCCGCCCGTTTTCCGTTAGGATGGTTCAGGACCGTCCTCGGTCGGCAACGCAAAAATGCAGAGGACGGTCCTGAACCGTCCTGCGTCGTGAAGGGGTTAAATTAACGGTTTGGTAACATCTTTCCAGGTACCTTGCTTCAAGACTTGTGTTGCCAGAGCTTGCTACATGGCCAGGGCATAGATATTGATAGCATCCTTGCTGCCCTCAGGGCTGAGGCCCTCCAGGACGGTGCACCTGCAGGCCCAGCTGGCGAGGCTTCAGGGTGCCGCCGTGGTTG